TCAGCCGGACGTGGTAGCACGCGCCTGTAGTTCCAGCTACTTGGAAGGCTGAGGCGGAAGGATTGCCGGAGCCCAGCAGTCGAGGCTGTGGTGACCGGAAGTGGCCACTGCACTCCGGTCTGGGTGACATAGTGAGACTCCAACTCAAAAAAAGAAGATCCCAAATAGCTTTAATTTATGTGGGCTATATCAATAGCCTCTATGATTATCTATCAATAAAGATTCTCAGCTGGAGAGATTTTTGCTTCTTGGGGGACAATTGGTAATGTCTGAAGACATTTTAGGCTGTTTACAGCTGGGACAGGGGTTCTATTGGCATCTAGTAGGTAATTACCAGAGATGCTGCTATTTACAAAGCACAGGACAGCCCCACAGCAAAGAATTATCCACCCCAAATGTCAGTAGTGCCAAGGTTGAGAAACTATAAGCTACAGATACAGATATTTCCAATATTAGAAATTAAAATTGAGAAATTAAAAAATGTGTATTCATTCATTAAAAACAATAACCCAATACAGGTTATCCTAAATCACATTTTTTATGAAAAATGACCATTTTCCAAAATGAGAAGATTGAGTGGGGAGACACATTTTTTTTACATTTTGCAAATCTCTTTCATGTCTAGCTTAAGAGAATACAGCTAAATTCTCATATTTGCTTCTATGTTCAATCTGCTGTAATATATTGTATTGATGAAAGTATGAAGAAAAGCTGGCCTGACCCAGATGTGCAGCTGAAAAGGGAGGAGGATTTTAATGGTCTTCTCAGATCATTGAGGATATTATTTTTTGATACTACATCAGAGTTCACTATGTAGTTAAATTACATAGAAAGGTTCAATGTGGAATTTGAAAGAACCAGTGAAGCTGCCTCCTGTTACACTGAAAACACTGGACTGTCTTGCACATTGAATCCATCTCTTTCCCAGGGATGATTTGTCACACCGGCACTGGTCATTTAGAAAATATTTATTCACTGAGTTATGCAGTTTTCCAAACATGGAATAGAAAACATCACTACTCAGAACAGAAAAGGCAAATGCATCTTACCGTTTCTTGTGAAAATTGTTTTGACTTCTCCATCCCTTGATGGGGGTCTCAGGATCAGGTGTCTCCAGATTACACTTTGAGAAACTCCACATTAAACCCCTTATATATTATTCAAAAAATTTGCAAAAGTAGCAATATAATGTTTGAGATACACATGTACTAAATATAGACAAAAGCAGGAGAAAGATGCACACTGTAAAAGGCCGCCTCCTGGGAGGAGATAAGGTTGTAATGAGAAGAGGCCTATGGGCGTCCCCAAAACTGTAAATGCTTTGCTTTTGTTTTCTCTCTCTTTTTTTTTTTTAATTGGAGTCTCACTCTGTCACCCAGACTGGAGTGCAGTGGCTGCTCCCGGCCAC